GGCCTCTCAAAAAAATTATCAACAAGCCAAAACCCAAAAGATGCCAAGTCAGTGGTGCCACGCTGAATTGCGTAATGTACAACAACGATAAAATGTCTACTGACACCGTTGCAGAGATTTTCCTGCGCGTGGACAGCAGCACAGAGAAACTGCCTTCCCTGGACTTCCACCAGCGGGAGTTGATCGTCGATTTCTGCAAGATCCGTGACGACAGGTGCGTTGCATAGCTGTTGCATAAAGAGTGATATGGACCATGGTCTTTTACTATCGTTATTGCTACTACTGCTTCTGTGATAATGGTGATGATGATAACGATAACGACTCTAAAGATAATAGTAACGACAGTGATAATAATGATAACAGTGTTAATAATAATGATAATGATGATAAGGATAATTATGATACAAATAACAAGAAGGATAATGATGATGATTATGATGATGATGATGATGGTGGTGATGATGATCATAATGATAATATAATAACAATAACAATAATAATGAGATAGATGATGATAATAGTAATGATAATGTTAATAACAATAATAATAGTAATGATAATAAGAATAATGATGATACTAACAATAATGATAAGAATAATGATAATGATAAGAATAACAAAAAATGTAAATATACAATGAGAACGATAATGGTAATAGCAATGATGGCGATGATGGTGATGATAATAATGATGTTGATAATAATAATTGTATTTATATATTATATATTTGTTATATACTTTATATATTCGTTATCATCATCATCATCATCATACTACTACTAATAGTAATAATAAAAAAAAATATAATAATAAAAAAAAATAATAATGACAATAATGATAAAAACAACAACAACAAAAGAACAACAATAATAATGAAAATAATGATAATGATAATAATGATGATAGTAATGATAATAATTACAATAATTATAATAATGATGATAATAATAATAACATCACTAATAAGGATTAGTATTATCAATATTATCATTAAAGTCACCACGCCTGGCATCATCATCATCATCATCAACCCCATAATCAACTATAGTAGTAATACTTGACGTCTTTATGTAATCATAAGTGAGTATTATATCGGAGGCGACGCTGACGAAGGCGGTGGTTCCTTTTCAGCGTGGCGTGGGTGACGAGGGCCCTGTCGAGTCTCTCGCGACGCCCCCTCGCCAGGGTCAAGCTCTTCCACAGCTCCCTGACGGCGCGGGGGGCACTCTCTCTGCTCGCAGGTGAGGCACTGTTGGGGCATCCCGTTATCAGCTGATCGGGATTGCAGGTGTGCTAAGTTATCGAGAGAATAAGATAATACTATTACTGCTTTAAGAAGGATTGTTTTAATATTCGTTAAAATTGATTAGGAGGCACACGTGTTATCAATTATATCTATTATTCATGTTTTTGTAAGTAGAAGTAGTTATAGTATCATTATTATCAATCATATCGTTATAGTTATTAAAGATAATGATGATAATGATATTAATGATGATAGTAATAATGATACTAATAAAGGTAATGATGATGAAAGTGATGATAATGATAAAGAGAATATTGATCTGATACAACTGCTGGACCCGCGACCCTTTCCCCACAGCTCTGCGGGCGGCCAAGGTATCCTTCGCCACCGGAGGCCTCCTGGAGGTGCGGTCCTGCCACGCCCCTTCCGAGGACGAGCGGCGGCAGCTCAGAGGGCTTCCTGTCACCTTTCGCATTCAGTGATTCCAGTCATGCCACTGTATGTGTTAGGGAAGAAGACTGCACACACACACACACACACACATTATTGTGTGTGTGTGTGTATATCTATCTATCTATCTATCTATCTATCTATCTATCTATCTATATCATCATCATCATCATCATCATCATCATCATCATCATCATCATCATCATCATCATCATCATCATCATCATCATCATCATCATCATCATCATCATCATCATCATCATCATCATCATCATCATCATCATCATCATCATCATCATCATCATCATCATCATCATCATCATCATCATCATCATCATCATCATCATCATCATCATCATCATCATCATCATCATCATCATCATCATCATCATCATCATCATCATCATCATCATCATCATCATCATCATCATCATCATCATCATCATCATCATCATCATCATCATCATCATCATCATCATCATCATCATCATCATCATCATCATCATCATCATCATCATCATCATCATCATCATCATCATCATCATCATCATCATCATCATCATCATCATCATCATCATCATCATCATCATCATCATCATCATCATCATCATCATCATCATCATCATCATCATCATCATCATCATCATCATCATCATCATCATCATCATCATCATCATCATCATCATCATCATCATCATCATCATCATCATCATCATCATCATCATCATCATCATCATCATCATCATCATCATCATCATCATCATCATCATCATCATCATCATCATCATCATCATCATCATCATC